AAACAAACACCTGAAACACAACTAAAACAAACACCTGAAACACAACTGAAACACAACTAAAACAAACACCTGAAACACAACGAAAACAAACACCTGAAACACACCTGAAACACAACTAAAACAAATAACTGAAACACACCTGAAACACAACTAAAACAAACACCTGAAACACACTGGAAACACAGCTGACACACACCTGAAACAAAACGAAAACAAACACCTGAAACACAACGAAAACAAACACCTGAAAAACACACCACAAACACCTGAAACACACACCTTAAACACAACTAAAACAAACACCTGAAACACAACTGAAACACACCTCAAACAAACACCTGCAACACACCTCAATCAAACACCTGAAACACAACTAAAACAAACACCTGAAACACAATGAAAACAAACACCTGAAACACAACTAAAACAAACACCTGAAACACAACTGAAACAAACACCTGAAAAACAACTGAAACACAACTAAAACAAACACCTGAAACACAACTGAAACAAACACCTGAAACACAACTAAAACAAACACCTGAAACACAACTAAAACAAACACCTGAAACACAACTAAAACAAACACCTGAAACACAACTGAAACAAACACCTGAAACACACCTCAAACAAACACATGAAACACACCTCAAACAAACACCTGAAACACACCTCAAACAAACACATGAAACACAACTCAAACAAACACCTGAAACACACCTCAAACAAACACCTGAAACACACCTCAAACAAACACCTGAAACACACCTCAAACAAACACATGAAACACACCTCAAACAAACACATGAAACACACCTGAACACAACTAAAACAAACACCTGAAACAAACCTGAAACACACATGACACACACCTCAAACATCTGTTCCCTGTGTGTGTGCGTGTGTGCTGCGTCCAGGCGCGAGTGAACGACCAGGTGGTCGGCTACAGAGACCTGGCAGCTCTGCCCAGAGATAAAGCTATCCTTCAGGTGGAGAGACCCGACCTGATGACCTACCAACCACACCTCACCTTCTCCCCCCTCGACCCGCCCCGCAGACAAGTACACACACGTTGTCACACACAAACACACACACACACACACACACTAAACTGAATAGTCTGGAATCTTCTCACCTGAAACACCTGTAGACACGTTCAGCAGGTGACATCTCTCCATTATTATTTTGTCTTCCCTGAAAACACAAACAGGTCAGAGTGTGAACTAACATATGAGTAATAATAATAACAAAAACAATATTAATATTATTAATGATATAATAATAATCATTAAGTTACTTTATGTTAAGTTTGTTTCATTCAACCTGAAAACATGAACCTTCCTCTCAGTTTGAGTGTTAATGTGTCTCATTGTGTCTCATTGTCTGTCATTGTGTCTCAGTCTCTCATTGTGTCTCTTTGGCTCTCATTGTGTCTCTCTGGTCTGCAGCGGTCTCTATCTCCTCCTGCCTCGTCTCCTACCATGTCTCCTGAGGTAAGACCTGCTGCCTCCATCTCACAGCCTTCATCTGCTGCTGATGATGATGATGATCCTTGACCCTCGTCTTCAGTTTAAATCACGTCTTTGTTCAAAATGAGACATTTAAAGTCTCTGGTTGTTCTCTGAGGACAAAGCGTCTCTGTTTCTGTCATGTTGTTCTTCATCATCAGGATTTTACTTTGAAAGGTCAAAGATTTTTTCAACCAAAGTGATGCTCGAATCTGTTGATCTAATAAAGTTCAGATAAAAATGATCTGTTTGTGTTTCATCTCCAGGTGAAGGAACGCAGAGCAGAGAGTGACAGCGGCTCACCTGGAGGATCAACGCTGACTCTGCAGGGTGGACGCAAGATCAGTGGAAGCCAGCAGCACTTCCACAGACCAGGTCTCTCTCTCTCTCACACACAGTCACACACACACACACACACACAGAGAAAATCTAATTTAATCTTTTTATGTATTAATACTTTTTAATACTCTGAAACTGAGTCTGAACTGTGAGAACTATGTTTTTAGATAACGGAGCAAATATCTACAGGAAACCTCCCATCTACAAACATGGTGAGCTCTTCATCTTCATCACTGTTTCTGCTGTCACTCTTCTTCGTGTTTATACTCTCCTTGTTTCTTCAGAGGTTAACAAACATGTCGAAGGCGTCATTCAGTCAGCAAAGTTTCCAGCTGCTCAGCCTCCAGATCCAAACCTGCCGTCCAAGATAGAGACCGAGTATTGGCCCTGCCCCCCCTCACTGGCTGCCATGGGTAACACACACACACACACACACACACAACCTATCTGCAGTTTAAGTTTAAAACAGGTTTAAACCTTTGTTGTAACTAAATGTCTTAAACCCAAACTCCACTTGTGGTTTAGTCTTTACATTACATTACAGTCATTTAGCAGACGCTTTTATCCAAAGCGACTTACAATAAGTGTATTCAACATATTCAAGAGAACTACTAGTCACCAGAAGTCATGAGTGCATCTCCTTTAAACAAGCATCTAAGAGCATAAACCAGAGCAGAAGTACAGAAACAAACTAGTATGAATACAATAAGTGGAAGGCTCAGGGTAGGCCTTCTTGAAGAGGTGAGTCTTCAGCCTGATGAAAGATGGGCAGTGACTCTGCTGTCCTGACGTCAGTGGGGAGTTCATTCCACCACTGTGGGGCCAGGACAGAAAACATCCGTGACCGGGTCGATCGGCCGCAGGGACCTCTGAGCGACGGGGCAACCAGTCGCTCCGAGGTAGCAGAGCGAAGTGGTCGGGCGGGGGTGTAGGGCTTGACCATGGCCTGGAGATAGGAAGGAGCTGTTCCTTTCACTGCCCTGTAGGCTAGCACCAGAGTCTTAAACTGGATGCGAGCTCTTACAGGGAGCCAGTGTAGAGAACGGAGAAGGGACGTTGTGTGGGAGAACTTGGGGCGATTGAACACCAGGCGAGCTGCAGTTTTCTGGACAAGCTCCAGAGGTCTGATGGCCGACGCCGGGGCTCCGGCAAGTAGAGAGTTACAGTAGTCCAGACGGGAGATGACAAGAGCCTGGATGAGCACCTGCGCCGTCTCTTCAGTGAGGAAGGGGCGAATCCTCCTGATGTTGTAGAGCAGGAATCTGCAGGAGCGTGTAACCGATGAAATTCGTGCTGAGAATGACAGTTGGTCATCCAGGGTCACACCCAGGTTCCCTGCAGTCCGAGTTGGCGTCACCACGGTATCGTCAATGGTGATGGACAGGTCTCGGTGTCGCATTACTAAGAGAAGTAATGCAAGCGAATAACAGAACCCAGAGATATTGTGTAGAGCGAGAAGAGAAGGGGGCCCAGGACTGAACCTTGTGGAACCCCCAACACGGCCCCCCTCCATGTCACCTGGTAGGATCGACCTGTCAAGTAGGATGCAAACAGGGAGAGTGCAGAGCCTGAGACGCCCATCCCCTCGAGGGTGGAGAGGAGGATCTGGTGGTTCACAGTGTCAAACACTGCAGACAGGTCCAGGAGAATCAGGACAGAGGAGAGAGTTCACTCTCGCTGCGTGTCTGTCGAGTGACCCACTTTGAACCCGGACTGGTGGGGGTCCAAGAGGCTGTTCTGGTGGAGATCGGAAGACAGTTAAGTAGAGACAGCACGTTCAAGTGTTGGAAAGAAAGGGTAGAAGAGAAACCGGTCTGAAGTTCTTGACATCAGAGGGGTCAAGTGATGGTTTCATCAGAAGGGGGGTGACTCTGGCAGTCTTGAAAGCCGTGGGAAAGCATCCTGAAACAAGAGATGTGTTGATGAGGTGGGTGAGGAAAGGAAGGAGCTCAGTCGCAATAGACTGAAGAAGAGGGGAGGGGATCGGGTCAAGGGAGCACGTGGTTAGATGTAACAAGGTTGAGGACCTCGTTAGGGGAGAGGGGAGCCAGATAGGGTAAGATGGGGCATGGAGAGGGGAGGGGGAGCTGTGGGGGAAGAGCTGGAGAGGGTAGAGAGGGAGAGGATGGACAGGGAGAGGGGGGCTGAGAGAAGGAGGATCTGATATCATTTACCTTCTTGTCAAAGAAGTTGGCGAAATCATCAGGGAGAAGGGAGGAAGTAGGAGGAGGGGGTTGGAGGAGTGAAGAGAAGGTTTTTTAGGATTGGAAGCAGAGGTTAGGATTTTGGAGCGGAAGAACTCGGCTTTAGCAGTAGATAGAGTGGTGGAACAAGTGGAAAGAAGAGCTTGGAAGTTAAGAAGGTCCCCAGGGAGTTTGCCTTTTCTCCATTTACGCTCAGCCTCTCTTAGGCTCCGTCTGTCAGTAGGCACTGAGTCAGACAACCACGGGGCAGGTGGAGTTGGCCGTCCTGTCCTGGAAGTGAAGGGACAGAGGTTGTCCAGAGAAGAGGAAAGGGTGGAGAGGAGAAGATCAGTAGCATTATCAGGGGATAGGAGAGAGAAGGATTCAGGGTCAGGGAGAGCAGAGGTAACAGAAGAGGAAAGATCAGCGGGGGAGAGGGATCGAAGATGACTACGGGTAGAAACCATGTGGGTAGGTGGAGGAAGTAAGGAGAGAGGAGAGGGAGAGGGAGTAGGACATGAAATAGTGGTCAGAGCTGGAGGGGAGTGACGGAGAGGTTAGCAGTAGAACAGTGTCTAGTGAAGATGAGATCCAGCTGGTTGCCGGCCTTGTGGGTAGGAGGAGAAGAGGAGGGGTAAAGGTCAAAGGACGAGAGGAAGGAAAGAAGAGGTTCTAATTTATCAGTCTGGATGTTGAAGTCGCCGAGCAGGATGAGTGCTGAGCCATCGTCATGGAAGTGCGAGACTAATGAGTCGAGCTCCTCCAGGAACTCACGAAGAGGGCCTGGTGGGCGATACACAACAGCAATGGTGAGCAAGGAGTTATTTTAGCTGTATTTTTATGAGTTGGTTTGAATTACTATGTTGTTCCCGTGGTATTAGCTCCTCTCCTCAGGTGCGTGTGATATGATCTCAGGGATCAGCTTTTAAACCCTGATAGCTCTGAAGATAATGAGATGCTAAGTGACAGACTGTGTCTGTAGCTCGACCTAACTTTGAGCTTGAACTCTATTAGAGATCGAGTGGAGGAAGAAGAAGGAGCTGCAGGAGGAAGACGAGTTTGAAGACCTGACAGGAGAAGCTGAGATCCTGCAGGAACAAGCTCTAGAAAAGGTTCTTTAGTTACACATCAGAGCAACACACAAACAGACACAAACAGAAGTAACTGATGCTTTCTGTGTTCGTGGTGAGATCAGATCAAGTCCAACCTGGGTCGCCTCATCCTGAAGGAGGAGAAAGAGAAGGCCGGTCACTGTCGGAGGAAGACGCAGTCGCTGCCGGACAGATCGCACATGCACACCAGTAAGACTCTTCTGTCGGCGGCGTCTTTGTGTTCGGGATGAATCTGATCTCAACACTTTCTTTTGTTTGTCTGCAGGTTTGTCAGCTGGTGCATCAAAGTCTCCTTCACACTCCGGCCCGGCTCTGACCAGAGTAAGTGATGAGAGCTGCTGCAGCTTCACCTTCACCACCGATGTGGTTCTGATCAAGTTAAATTACAACAGGAGTTAGAACACACGACGTAGCGATGATCCACTGAGAGCTGATGGTGTTCTGATCCGGTTGGACAGTGAACACAGGAATACAGGTTTTCTATGTATTGTCAGTAAACATACATCAGTATATACGAGTTGGTATATCTGTTGATGTGATAAAGACGATGTCATGGTGCTTGACATGTAAATTCAATGTTTGATTATCTAGTATTCTGTGTGTTTCTGCCGCAGATGGAGATTACATATATTAAATCTAAATACTTCTATTTCTAGGGAGCATAAAAAACACATTTTGTTGAAATGTTTAATATCAAATGTAAAATGATTTTCTTTGTGTGTTTGCAGATGCAGTCTGCAGAGTTCTCCACAGACAGAGATAAAAGAGAAGCAGGTAGAAGTTCTACCCTGAAGCGTTCAGTTTTACAGAGTTACACAAATGCATCACGAATAAAGGAAATGCAACGTATCCTTCAAAGAGTAGAAACAGTACTGATACCTGCAGTACAGTAGCAACAGTACTAATACCTACAATACAGTAGCAACAGTACTGATACCTACAATACAGTAGAAACAGTACTGATACCTACAGTACAGTAGTAACAGTACTAATACCTACAATACAGTAGAAACAGTACTGATACCTACAGTACAGTAGCAACAGTACTAATACCTACAATACAGTAGAAACAGTACTGATACCTACAGTACAGTAGTAACAGTACTAATACCAACAGTACTAATACCTGCAGTACAGTAGCAACAGTACTAATACCTACAATACAGTAGCAACAGTACTGATACCTGCAGTACAGTAGTAACAGTACTGATACCTGCAGTACAGTAGTAACAGTACTGATACCTACAATACAGTAGCAACAGTACTGATACCTACAGTACAGTAGCAACAGTACTAATACCTACAATACAGTAGCAACAGTACTAATACCAACAGTACTAATACCTGCAGTACAGTAGCAACAGTACTAATACCTACAATACAGTAGAAACAGTACTGATACCTACAATACAGTAGTAACAGTACTAATACCAACAGTACTAATACCTGCAGTACAGTAGCAACAGTACTAATACCTACAATACAGTAGAAACAGTACTGATACCTACAGTACAGTAGTAACAGTACTAATACCAAC